GGTACAAATATTTTAACTACATGAATCGCTTTTGTACAGTTTGAGTAAAAGTTATAAGTGTGCCCTTCACCACTTTGTAATGATACTATCTTAGAACATTCCCACGTCTTCTCCAAAAAAGATTGTGGTCTCTCAGATCCTCTTACAGTGCTAAATACCTTGTAGACACTCAAAAATGCTCCTGGAATTTGAATTTTCATTGAGAATACTTGGGAGCTAGATTACTTTGGAGCAAGCTTAATATATTAAAATGTATAATTTTAATATTAAATACCTAGCAAATGAAGTCTTCATCATTATTGTAATGAGTTTGGGGGTTTTTTTCCCTCTTGGTTAGAGGCCTCGGTTTTCATTTCCCTTAGATTCTCAGGTTTTCTTTTCAGTTAGAGGCACCATGCATGCATTTCAGGTAGGAAAAGATGCTAACCTGGGAAGAAAAAAATTCATTTTGTTAAAAAAAGGTGTAATGAAGTAAAATTGTAATGTTTTGGCTATATTTATGCAACAGCTTGGAGGCAATTTCATAAAATTAGATTTCGATGTACTTAAAAATATATAGGAATTGAGCCCATTATTTCCCACATTGTACTAAATCATATATTAATATCAAGTCTAAATTATAGATGAGGAAAACTAAGAAATAGAGCATTTTTCATAAAATTATATATTCAATTTACTTGTTACAATCTTAATTAGGTAATCGGTTATATTTCTTATAATTTTTCTGGTTCTTTTCCTAAATAGTCATATTTCTTGTATGACCATTAAACCATTCACCTTTAAGTTATTATCCTTTATGGAAATCATGCAATCCTTTACAATTTTACTAATAAATATTCTGAAACACATAAAAACAATTTATGGTGTTTACATAATTAAGCCCTTGCAGTTAGTGGTTCTTGATCTGTTTTGAATCAAAGAATCTAAGTCAAGTTAAATATTCTCTTTCCAGAAAAAATGTATATGTATGCAGAATTTTACATAACATTTTAGTAGCTAGTGTCTTCCCTGAATCCAGACCAGTAAGTTACGAATCTCTGTATTACATATTTTTATATTATATATTGTGAATTTAATATATTGTGTGCCTTTGGAAATGTCAAAAGTATCTCATCATAAAGCAGATAGTTCTACAACACTGTAGCAGAGCTCTTAAATATTTCTATTGCACTATTATAAATCTGAAGTGATTTTGAATTGTTCGAAATATTTATTGTGTAAGTTATATCTTTCTCTGTCTTTTTTTTCTGACAATTGTGTTTTGACCAACAACAGATTTTCTTTTCTTATTTTAGATTCTGAAGAGGCTCAGTCAGTAAATCCTTCTAGTGTTGATGAAAATATTGACTCTGAGACAGAGAAAGACTCTCTCATTTGTGAAAATAAACAGATACTTCCCAGTAAAGCACCTCTTCCATCTGCCCTGGATGAGTATGAGTTCAAAGATGACGATGATGAAGAAATAAATAAAATGATTGATGATAGGCATATTCTTAGGAAAGAACAACGAAAAGAGAATGAATCTGAAGCAGAAAAGAATAGTTTATTTGCAAAACAGGAGAAAGCCTTCTATCCTAAATCATTTAAAAGTAAAAAACAAAAGCCATCTAGGGTTTTGTATTCAAGTACTGAAAGTTCTGATGAAGAAGTTCTTCAGAACAAAAAGATTTCTACTTCATGTTCTGTCCCCGAATCATCAAATTCTGATATACAGACCAAAAAAGAATATGTAGTTTCAAGTGAACACAAACAGAAAGGCAAAGTTAAAAGAAAATTAAAAAATCAGAATAAAAATAAAGAGAACCAAGAGCTAAAGCAAGAAAAAGAGGGAAAAGAAAATACCAGAGTAGCAAACTTGACAGTTAATACTGCACTAGATTGTCCAGAAAAGACCAGAGAAGAGGGGAATTTTAGGAAATCTTTTAGCCCAAAAGATGATACTTCATTACATTTATTTCATATTTCCACTGGTAAATCTCCCAAACATTCTTGTGGATTAAGTGAAAAACAATCAACACCACTAAAACAAGAACATACTAAAACATGTTTATCACCAGGAAGTTCTGAAATGTCATTACAGCCTGATCTTGTTCGGTTTGATAATACAGAATCTGAACTCTTGCCAGAAAGTTCAAGTGTGAAATATTGTAAGCATAAGGAAAAAAATAAACATCAGAAAGATTTTCACTTAGAATTTGGTGAAAAATCAAATGCCAAATTAAAGGATGAAGATCATAGTCCAACATTGGAAAATTCAGATTGCACACTGAAAAAAATGGATAAAGAGGGTAAAACATTAAAAAAACATAAATTGAAACATAAAGAGAGAGAAAAAGAAAAGCATAAAAAAGAAATTGAAGGTGAAAAGGAAAAATATAAAAATAAGGATGGTGCTAAAGAACTGCAGAGGAGTGTAGAATTTGATAGAGAATTTTGGAAAGAGAATTTTTTTAAAAGTGATGAAACTGAAGATTTATTTTTAAATGTGGAACATGAGTCCCTAACATTAGAAAAAAAATCAAAATTAGAAAAAAACATGAAAGATGATAAATCAACTAAGGAAAAGCATATCCCAAGAGAGAGGAACTGTAAAGAGCGGGAAAAGATTAAAAAGGAAAGTGAGAAATCTTATAGGGAAGAAAAAATAAAAGATCTAAAAGAAGAGAGAGAGAATGTACCCACAGAGAAAGAAACAGAATTCAGTTCTTTGAGTATAAGTGCTAATGATGAATCTGTAGGACTACAGTCAGTGGAAAAGGAAATAGACATTGAAAAACAAGAAAAGCATATAAAAGAGAGTAAAGAAAAATCTGAAAAACGGTTTCAAACTAAGGATGTCGAGAAGACTGAAAGAAAAAATTTTGAAAAAGAGAAGAAGACAAAACATGAGCATAAGTCAGAAAAAGATAAATTAGATCTTAGTGAATGTGTCGATAGAATAAAAGAAAAGGAAAAGCTATATTCACATCACACAGAGAAATGCCATAAAGAAGGTGAGAAGATCAAAAATATTACTACTATTAAAAAAACTGATGACAGAGAGAAAAGTAGGGAAAAAATGGATAGGAAACACGACAAAGAAAAACCTGAAAAAGATAGACATCTAGCAGAAAGCAAAGAAAAACACTTGATGGAGAAGAAAAATAAGCAATCAGATAATAGTGAGTATACTAAATCAGAAAAAGGCAAAAGTAAAGAAAAAGACAGAGAGATAGACAAAAAGGAAAAGTCTAGAGATAAAGAAAGTATAAATATAACTAACTCCAAACACACACAGGAAGAGAAAAAGTCAAGTACAGTAGACAGTAATAAAGCACAACATGAAAAACCCTTGTCCCTTAAAGAAAAAGCAAAAGATGAACCGTTGAAAATTCCAGATGGAAAAGAAAAAGATAAAAAAGATAAGGATATCGATAGGTACAAAGAGCGGGACAAACATAAAGATAAGATCCAATTGAATAGTTTACTCAAACTAAAATCTGAAGCGGATAAGCCTAAACCTAAGTCATCACCAGCATCAAAGGATACTCGACCTAAAGAAAAGAGATTAGTGAATGATGATTTAATGCAGACAAGTTTTGAGCGAATGCTAAGCCTTAAAGACCTAGAAATAGAACAGTGGCACAAAAAACATAAGGAAAAAATTAAGCAAAAGGAAAAGGAACGGTTGAGAAATCGTAACTGTTTAGAACTTAAAGTAAAAGATAAAGAAAAAACAAAGCATGCATTAGCTGAATCCAAAAATAAAGAACTCACTAGGTCAAAGAGTTCAGAGTTGACTGATGCTTACACCAAGGAGAAACAATCAAAAGATGCTGTAAGTAACAGATCACAATCTGTTGACACCAAAAATATAATGAATTTAGGGAAGTCATCTTTTGTTTCAGATAATAGCTTAAACAGGTCTCCTAGATCTGAAACTGAAAAGCTTGGTCTCAGCTCCAGATCTGTATCCATGATTTCTGTTGCTAGTTCAGAAGATTCCTGCCATACTACAGTGACAACTCCAAGGCCTCCAGTGGAGTATGATTCTGACTTTATGTTAGAGGGTTCAGAATCCCAAATGTCCTTTTCCCAGTCACCTTTTTTGCCAGTTGCCAAATCTCCTGCTCTTCATGAAAGGGAATCGGACAGCCTAGCTGACCTGCCAGAGCGAATTAAACCACCATATGCAAATAGACTTCCAGCATCCCATCTCAGGTCATCTTCTGTAGAAGATGTTAAACTAGTTATAAATGAGGGGAGACCTATTGTAGAAGTTCGAAGATGTAGCATGCCATCTGTCATTTGTGAACATACAAAACAATTCCAGACAATATCAGAAGAAAGCCATCAAGGTAGCTTATCAGCTGTGCCAAGAGATACTTGTCCTTCTCCCAAACCTGAGATTTTTTCAAATGTGCCTGAAAGAGACCATTCAAATGTGTCTACCATACATTCCAGTTTTGCAGCCTCTCCAACTAGATCTGTAAACAACAAATATGTTTCAGCTGATATAAATGTCATTAAGAGTACTGCTGCAGTGGGCACTGTAGTCGACAGTCCTATGCATTTAGAATCATCTAATCAGGTTGGCGTGATCCAAAATAAATCGTGGGAGATACCTGTTGATAGACTGGAGACCTTAAGCACCAGAGACTTTATCTGTCCAAACTCTCAGACACCTGATCAGGAGTCCTCTGTTCAAGGCTTTTGTAATCCTGAAAACAAAATATTGAAAGAAAATACTGATTTTTTATGCCTGCACCAGACTGATCTGCCAGGAAACTGTTGTGCTCAGGATCCGGCATCCTTTCTGCCTTCACAGCAACCTTGCTCTTTCCCCAGCCAATCACTTTCAGATGCTGAATCTATTTCTAAACATACGTCTTTGTCATATGTTGCCAATCAAGAGCCGGGTATTTTACAACAGAAAAATGCAACTCAAATTATTAGTTCTGTTTTAGATACTGATAATGAATCTACGAAAGATACAGAAGATACTTTTGTCCTAGCAGAGGTTCAAAAGACAGACGCCTTTGTCCCAGTGTACTCTGAAAGCACTATTCAAGAAGTATCACCAAATTTTGAAAAGACTAATACTTTACCTCTATTACCATCAGAAAAGAACTTTAATGGAACTGATGCCTCTGCCCAGCTAAGTACACATTATGCGTTTAGCAAACTAACTTACAAGTCTTCCAGTAGCCATGAGGTTGAGAATAGCACAACTGATATTCAGGTTATTTCACATGAAAAAGAAAAACTGGAGAGTTTGGTTTTAACTCATTTGAATAGGTGTGATTCTGATTTATGTGAAATGAATGTAGGGATGCCAAAAGGAAACCTAAATGAACAAGATAATTCAAAACATTGTCCTGAAAGTGAAAAGTGTTTGCTTTCCATTGAAGATGAAGAATCTCAACAAAGCACTTTATCAAGTCTGGAAAACCATTCACAACAGTCAGCTCAACCAGAAATGCATAAATATAGTCAACTAGTTAAAGTAGAATTAGAAGAAAATAATGAAGATGATAAAACTGAAAACCAAATCCCTCAAAGAATGACTAGAAACAAAACAAGTACAATGGCAAATCAAAGCAAGCAGATTCTTGCTAGCTGTACACTATTATCAGAAAAAGATACTGAGTCTTCATCTCCTAGAGGAAGAATAAGATTAACTGAAGAAGACGATCCTCAAATTCACCATCCACGGAAAAGGAAAGTGTCACGTGTACCTCAGCCTGTGCAAGTGAGTCCCTCCTTACTACAAGCAAAAGAGAAAACTCAGCAATCTCTGGCAGCCATCGTAGATTCTCTGAAACTAGATGAGATTCAGCCATACAGTTCAGAGAGAGCAAATCCATATTTTGAATACTTGCACATAAGGAAAAAAATTGAAGAAAAGCGCAAGTTATTATGCAGTGTTATTCCTCAAGCACCTCAGTATTATGATGAATATGTAACATTTAATGGATCTTATCTCCTGGATGGAAATCCATTAAGCAAGATTTGTATTCCCACAGTAAGTAACATCATCATTTGATATACATCTGCAATGCTGTCCAATAGAAGTATAATGCAAGCTACATAAGTAATTTCAAATTTTCTTGTAGCCACATTTGAAAAAGTAGAAAGAGGTAAAATTCGTCCTACTATTTAACCCAATATATCCAAAGTACTATTTTAACATATAATCAATATAGAAAGATTATTAAGATATTGTACATTTTTTAAAACTTAAATCTGAAATCTGGTATGCTCACAGCACATCTCAGTACAGGCTAACCACATTTCAGAAAGTGTTCAGTAGCCAAGTGTGGCTAATAGCCACCTTGTTCAACAGCACAGATCCTATAGTATTTTCTTTTCCTTACCTACTTTTTCTTTTGTTTCAAAGGAGACATGTTTTTATTTCTTTGAAGTCTAATGCCTCTACATAAGCTTTCGATCCTATTTTTTCCATTCGTCTCCGGAACCTTCTTCTATTAAAACACTGTTCTCGCTAGTATATTTTCTTCATTTTCCCCTCTCTGTTTACCTTTATCCACCTACTCAGAACTTAGTTGAGTCTCCTCCATCCTGGGGATAAAAAATGTCTCACTAAGTGAGCTCATCGAGCTTACTGTCTGTCTCTCCTTCACTGCCACGCTCTTGGAGAGTGCACTGTGTTTTCTCTGTCTCATTTCCTATTCATTCCTTAACCATCACGCACTGGCAGAGAACACCATTGAGCCCTTAATTGCCAGACTCATTGGCCTGTTTTCATTTTTCTTTCTATTTGATCTGTCAAATTTGACATTGTGACCACTTCATAAAATCTTCCCCTCCCTGGTCTTTCATGATGATGATCTTTCTGGTTCCTGTGCTTCACTACCTAATCTTTTTCTGTCTTTTTTAATGACTCCTTTTCTCTACCACCCATTAAACATGAGTTCTCTAGTGATCCATTTTCCAGTTGACTTTTTGCTTTATGTGCTCTCCAGATGTGTAGATTACCTGTCTCTATGGTTTCAGCAGTCTTCCAGGTGCCAGTTAATCCCCAGAAATTCTTACCTAGCCATATCATTTTTGTTGACCTCCAGAATTAAATATAGTTTCCTTCTGAGCATCATCACCTAAATGTCCTTCAAACACCTTGTCATAAATTGGATTCTCCAGGAAGTAGATACTGAGATTGTGTGCAAGAAGTTTATTGGTGAGTTTAATCAGGAATAAGTAAGTATGTGAGATAAGCAGAATTGGGCAGAGTGAGAAGTTGAACTGAAATGCAGTTGCAGCAGTGACCTCAGCTGAACCCACAAGAGCTTTGGAGTAGGATGTCCCTTCTGATAGGGGCCTCCCCTCAGGGAACATGCCTTTGGGCCCACCGGCACTTTTCCCTGAAAGGTGATTGGAGAGGGACTCCAGTGAGAGATGTTAGCCACCAACACTCCCAGAAACTGGGAGATGAGTGCCTCATTCCTGCACTAAGATCTCAAACTCAACATATACCAAAAGGAATTATTTACCCCTTACTTCCTCAAAACCAAATCTGTATTCATTAGTAATGGTGCCGAAGTAGTAAATGAGCAGTCACCAAATTCTAACAACTCTGCTTTACAACTCCAAAATCTGTACCCTCTACCACTGTCTTGTGTGAGGACCCTTATCATCTCTCACTTAGATCATTGCAGCAACTTTTTCTTTATACTTTTAGTCTTCTGCTGGAGACTTTTTGTTGTTAAATTTCTATTCTTTTTAAAGCAATAAATAACCATTTTCCTATTTAAATACCTAAACTGTGATTAACTGGCTTCCCATTGCCTACAGCTTAAAATCCAAATTGTAAGCTTTGCATACTAACCAGACATTTCACAGTCTGACCCCAGAGTACCTCTCCAGCTTCAATTTCTCACTGCTGCTGCTAAACTCACCCAGTATCTCAGCCAAATTGAACTTACTCTTCTACAGAAATCTTTTCTTCACTCCTTTTGATGCCTTAGCAGTAATGTTCTCTCTACCTGAAATGTTCTTCTCTCCATCCCCTTCTCGTCCTTTTCCATGCCTTTTGTTCTGGCTGTGATGTCACCTTTGTGGGAAATCTTTTCAAAGCAGAATAGCTTATGTCTTCCTTATACCTCCCCGATAATCTCATAGTAAATCGTTTACATGTCTGCCTCTACTTCTGAGCTGTAATCTGATTAAGGGCTAGGACACCATTTATCTCTTACAGAATGAGTCCCAAATTCATCTTCAGCCCAGAATATACTACTGATGTATGTCCATAATCATGTTTCTAGCTGCTTCTGGATATCTCCTTAGTGTCCTTTAAGATCCTTTAAAATCATTATGTCCAATACCAAACCCATTTATCTCAAAAGTGCTCTTTTTGCCCTCTGTTTTAATTACTGTCATTATCAGCTGTTGAATTTCCCCTGACTGGAAACCCAAGATTCAACCTTGATCTACTCTTCTCCACCTTCACATCAGATCAGTCATTAAGTCATATTCATTCCTCTCACTTCTCTTTCCCCTTCTCTTCTGTCTGTTACCACTGCTGTGCAAGGACTTCTTTAGCTTCTTAGACTATCAAGTATTCATCATATTGCATATGCATGTAATTCATAACTATGTGCTAAGCATTATGCTAGTAACTAGATACTAGAGATAAGTAAAACACATTCTGAGTTGCTGCCCATAGGTTTCTAGTCCTCATTAATCTCTTCTCTCAGTCTAGACTTCTTACTCTCTGGGTTCATTTTAAAACACAGATCTGATTATGTGACTCCTGGGCTAAACATCTTAAGGGAGTCCTAATTTTCTATAGGCTGAACTCCCAGTTCCTTACTGTATACAAGGTCCTTCTCATAATTTTCTAGTCTTGGCTCTAGTTACGTCCCCACTGTACACACTTGTTATACTTGGAGTCCTCTGACTATACTGCGCTGTTTCAAAGATGTTCTTCTTTCAAAGCCCAGTTCAGAAAAGATCAAAAAGTTACAAGAAAGATGTTTTTTTAGTCCCACACCCACAGAATCTGCCTGATGCTAGTGCCTTTTAAGTCTTCTTAAAAGAGAACAGATTTAGACAGCCCCTAGTAGATTAAAAATAATAGAAGTTGTGGGGCTGGGCGCAGTGGCTCACGACTGTGATCCTCACACTTTGGGAGGCCAGGAGTTCGAGACAAGCCTGAGCAAGAATGAGACCCCATCTCTGCAAAAAGTAGAAAAAATTAGCCAGGCATGATGATGTGTGCCTATAGTCTCAGCTACTCTGGAAGCTGAGGCAGGAGGATCACTTGAGCCCCAGGAGTTTGAGATTGTGGTGAGGTATGATGACACCACTGCACTGTAGCCCCGGAGATGGAACAAGACCCTGTCTCAAAAAATAAGAGTTGTAAATAAATGTCATCGATAGACTCTTTCAACAAAATCATTTGTTAATGATTCAAAGAATATAAAACTAGTAACTTGTTTCTTTATTTCCCAACTTTATTTCTCCTAAAAGGGTAAGAAATTTTTACTGAAATAATATGTAATATTATAGGCTGGAAATATAGGTGTAACTATAAAGATATTTAAATTAGAACTTTGTACAAACTATTTCAGTAAAAATAATTTGAAATAAACCATGTTAGGTTGCTACCTTAATGCAATCTATTGACTTCATATATATATTTAGATTTGTTATATATTGTGCACATGTGGGTATCATAGACACACATATATGTATATGTTATGTTTATACTCTCACCTTTTCTTATTCCTGCAAAGATAATGTAATACAAGTTTGATTCTCTTGAAGCAATCCTAGGGATATGTCTTTGATTATATGAGTATTTAGTTGTTATATTGTTACAAAAGGGACTATAAGAGAGCTGAGAAATTTTTCTGGATGAGTTTTGTTTTTTTGTTTTATTTTTAGAGACAGGGTCTTGCTCTTGCTCAGGCTGGTCTCGAACTCCTGAGCTCAAGCAATCCTCCCGCTTCGGCCTCCCAGAGTGCTAGGATTACAGGTGTGAGTCACTGGGCTGGCCTGAATGAGTTTTTTTTTTAATTTTTGTGTTTAAATGAGAATTACTAAAATAGAACACACAGCACAATATAGTAAAAAGAGCAATGGATTTCTAATTAGCATACATGAGTTCAAGTCTAGATTTTGCTGTAAACTAGCTGTGTGATCTTGAATAATTCACTTCACATCTCTGATCCTTAGTTTCCACATCTATAAAACAAGAATATCTACCCTACTTCAAAGCAGGTTGAAATAGTATATGCCAAAGTCCATTTAAACTTGTTATAACTATATAGTTTTAAGGAGTTACCATTATCTTAAACCCAGCTTCAAATGACTTTAAGATTCGTATTTATTAGAACTAACATATGAACTCCAGCCTTTTGTTTTTGAAAGGCTGTGTGTTTGAGTTTACTGAACTAAAACTCATTTGTTCAAAATTTAGTTTAAAAAAATAAGACCAGAATAACAAAAATTACTTAAGCACTACATTTTTTTTTTTCGTACTTTCCAATATGGCCTTATCCATTTGTTTCCTCCTAGCCAGCTAATTACCATTTTGTCAAAATGACCTTTACTCATATTTATGTGATCTGGTTATAAAACCCATTAGAAATGTGGTAAAATGTCCCCAGAATCCATCTAAGTGTTTCTTCTTCCATTAAATACTTTACTCACAGTTTAACCAGGATGCTGATATTTTTCAAGAGGAAATCAAGGTAAAATAAATAAATAAACAAACAAACAAACTGCAGGTTAGGATTCCCAAAATCAAATGAACAAGGAGAAAAAAGAGACGTCACAACCTGCAGTCTACTGTGACCACTAGTAACAATACACCCTACAGAAATCTTGGAGGAATTCCAAGAGTGGGTGATAAGAGAAAAGTGCACTGCTAGGTAGCTGTCAAGAGAGTAACTATTCTCGAGGCTCCTTGGACTCACAGATACTGAAAGGTAAAATCGCCAAGCATGATTTACTTGAAGGCAGATGAGGAAAACAGCAAACGGCAAGTTTTCTCAGAAAGTCTCCATGTATCCCTTTGGTGATTTTTATCTCTCCTCTATATGTGATAAATGTTGATGATTCCCACGGTTTTATATTCTGCCCAAATCTCTCTCCTTGTCTCCTTTTTGGCCCGACCTGAATGTTCAGAAGCTTCACAAACGCAGCATGTCAGCACTAAACTGAACTTAACCAAAAACCTGATTCTTCACTCCCTCCTCCATCTAACACCACTTTAACAATGATTTGCTTTCTCAATTCCTTTCCTACAACCTGTTCTCCTGGCAAAACAGCAAGCTGTAAGACCTTCCAGTGGCTCCCCATTACGTATGTTCTACATAATGTATCTCTTCCACAGTGTGTTAATTAAATACCTTCGGTGACAGGGAGGCTTTCATGGTCAAATAATTTTGGGAAACACTGTTAATCTAAAAATAGGTTGCTTCACCACAGGACTTCTCAGAGCCTTTAATGTGTTTTAATTGTGAGACTCCAAAGTGCGTACGTGTGTACAGGTGCACAGTGTTTCCCAAACTTGTTCTTGGTACCATTTCCTGTAAGTTGTCTCTATGGGCTCAATGTTCTGTGGAGCCGACTTTAAAGTTCCTTTACAGAATAGACTACAGCTTCCATTACTCTGCCCCTGCTGATCTCTCCATCCTCATTTCACCGTTTGTTTTGTCAAATTTGATGTTCCAGGAACTCAGGACTGCTTGTCGTAGTTGCCTGTAGATACTGTACTGTTTGTTTTATGCCTTTGATCTTGTTATCCTCTCTTCGAGAAATTAGTTCCCTCCCTCCTTTGCCTTTCTTTTTTTCCCCACAGTGATTCATTTCTTTAACTCTCTACTCTGGCTCTTCCTTTGAGGCGCAGCTCAGGCACTACCCTCTCAAGAAAGCTTTCTCTGGCACCCCAGTCTCAGATGAGTAGAAACTCTTCCTCTACACTCCTTGAAATAACTAGAGGCCTGTATGATTTTGCAAAACTGAAACAATAGCACCAAATTAAATTTAAAGCAGTTGGCAGGACACAGAAATGAAAAAAATGTATTGAAATTAGAGGCCTTAAAAATTATCAGCCCAGTAAGTTATTTGTCCTGTAGAATTCTCCACATTCTGATTCAACTGATTAAATCTGTATGATGTTATTTAACATGTTTTTTAGTCCCCCATAATCCTTGGAAACTATATGTTGATTATAGAGTCTCGATAGATCCAGGTTTGATTTTTGGCAAGAGCTTTTCATATATGATGTTGTATGATTCCTGTGGCACCACCAGGAAGCAGATAATATACCCAGTTGTCCCACTTTCATATGGAGTTGACAGTTAAACTGTTAGAAGAGTCAAATAAGTTGTACTGTGCCAAAACGTACTGAGCTATCTTAACTTTGCCCTAATATGCTGACAGTAATTACAAGCAAGGATAAGAGGGGGGAATATATTAAATTGATACTCAGAGGTAGAGGAAGAATATTCAGAGGTCACAGATGGTTACTGACATCTCTTGGATGTCTCCATGTTAACAGGAGAGTGCATGCATAGATTGAATGAGTTTCTTCAACCTCCAGCATCTACCAGAAATCACAGTCCACTGTAATATCAAATTAGAGATGAACCGTAAGCTTTTTGGAGTATGGATAGACAAAGTTATATAGGATGTCACATGTAATAAAGAATTTTGAAAACCACAAATAAGGCCGTTTTATCTACTTTTAATAAAAGACATTTCATTTAATGTAACACTGAGGACTTTAGTGTTTGATTTTTATCATGTCTGCAAAGAGACTTCACTTACCATACCAATACACAGACTGCTGTAATCTTTATGACTATTTCCTTCATGTTTGTACTAGCTTTTCCGTTTTTGTGACTCTTTCCTGTCCGTGAGCTATCACTTACTGATGCTCTAAAATGTGTCTCTCCATAGTAAGTACCTTTCTTAGTCCTTCTGATTTGCTCTTTAAAATATGCCGTGACCTCATAATCAAAACATCTAAGATTGTGAAATACCCTGCTGTTTCAAACAGAATGGATGGAGAAGTAACAACCAGTTGTATGATTAGTACTGTATTTTTTAAATCACAGATCATCAGAATTTAAGTTATGCACTAAAAGGGTTTAATTTTAAAAGAGTAGCCCATTACTGTAAATAAATCCTAATATTTTTAATTATGTTTTTAAAATTAGATTACACCACCACCTTCACTGTCAGATCCACTTAAAGAGCTTTTTCGGCAACAGGAAGTTGTAAGGATGAAACTACGTTTACAACACAGTATTGAAAGGGTAAGAAATGTTTAAATTTACCTTTATGCTAAAAAAATTATTTTAACAATGAATTTAAATGGCCTACAGTTTTTTATTAGTGGATTTTCCTTATTTAGAACCATTTGAGGAAATGGTTTGATTTTGTTGTCTTGTGCTTATCCAAATTTAGGTGGAGAAATTTTAAGCCTATTTTAGAATTAGCTACTCCCATATTTTAATTCATGTTGATTATATTTTCAGTATATTAAAAGTCTCTAATAATTTCTTGTTATCATTTGTTGAATTTGTAGAACTAATAGCAGTAGATTCCTAGTAGGACATTTGGATTTCCAGGTTTTGGAGTCATTGCTTAGAAACAGATATTTTAGGGCTAAAGTGCAAAATGCTTATAAAGGCTGTGCTTATGTGTCCTTACAGGTCTGCTGTAGTATCTGATTTCCAGTGGTTAGTTTTGGCATGAAATGACAGGAGGAAAAACCTATCCGGTTATTTATAGAAATTTTAAAGGTTATTTTACTTGGATTTACAAAAATATAAGTTTCTTTATCTTTTGGGAGGGTCAAGGATCTCTGAAAATGTGATGTAAGCTGTGATCCTTCTTCACAGAAATGTGCATCTACTCATTTACAAACAAAATCTTGTATGTAATTTCTTTGATTCATACATGATTGATAGCCCTGACAGAGGTTCATAACTTTTTTTGTTCTATGGACCCCTGTAACAATCTGGGAAATTAGGAACCTCTTTTCAAAATGTTTTTAAATGAATAAAGTTCATAGGATTACAAAAAGAATCAACAAAAGAAAGAAGAGCTGATACAGAAATATAGAACTTACAACACTGTGCATGACTCCCTGCCAATGAGTAATTTGGTAGCAATAAGAAGTTACATAATATAGCTCATCAATTGCTATTTCAACCATTACACATGTTTGAAGCCACCTGGTATATATTCACCTATGCACCTATCCAGGTTACAGAAAGCCATGCCACCTTACAGTTAAAAATTCTTATTTGAACTGTGCAATTTGCAGAACCGTAACAAATAACAAAATGACATAAAACCTTCCACATATTGACCAATAAACAATTAGAATTGCAGCATATTAGCAACTTAAACGTCTGACCAACGTGAGAACAAAAAACTACCAGTTGGTGGCTGAATAGCTATTAGCTGCAGAATTGCCTGATCCTTGGCCAGCTGTGTTGCACAAGTGTTTCCACACAGAAGAACTGTAATCGTGTCATAGAGCAGCAGATCTAATAACTGCTGGAGTTTTGAAGAAAATATAAAATTTGGGGGGGATATCTGTAGAAACTATAATATAAATTCGGAAATATTTGTCATTTCTATGGATGATGAAATTGCAGATAACTTCTAATTCCTTTGTGGTTTGTGGACACATTCTTAGTTGAAAGAAATGCCAGTTGGAGGTTAGTAAACATAAAGATATAATTTTTTCCAAGCCAAGTTCACAGACTACCCTTCCTTCATTTTATCCCATATGCTTTTTGGGGGTATAAGGACTCCCAAGAACCCCTGTTTAAGGGCCATTTTCCCCACAGAAAATAACATTTGAATGCTGTATTAAATGAATGAACAAGGCTTGCAGCCAGAGCCCCTGGCCCATTTCCTCAGAACTGCCCCATGTTCTTTCTGCTCTTTCAGCCCAAAAACTAAGAGGAAGCAATACTTTGGCATACCCATAACCTGTCTCCATAAGACATTGAGAGGCTCTGCTCTAGGGGTTCAAAGACACAAAATTAAGAATGCTGATCAAAAGTGGAATATTTGGACTATGAATTAAGCAACATATCTGTGTTATTTTAGGAGAGGGAGGATCTGACTTTAGAAAATACATTTCTCACATAGTGTTTGTTTTGGAGAGATTTTTTGTTATCTCTCTTAATCTCTACAGGACTACAACCAACTTATTAGGAAAACATTTCTAGCTGTTTTTTCTTTGGATCAAGTTTTTGGATATTTATTGCTTCAAGTTGCACTGTAAATTGTACTTAATCATAAATGTTAGTCTTACCTGTTTATCATTTGTCACAATAAGACCTAAGAAGTTAGTTAAGACCATGTTTCTTTGTTTTTTCACTAAATTATAAATACAGTAAAAGTCTGCAGTAATGTGTATTTAGATATGTTACCTGCATTCTCCCGCGGGGGAAGACTAAAGGTTTTGTGAGTTGAAGGGACAATGGGGAATATAGTTGGGGGTTGGGAGGAGAAGACTAGACACATCCTTTGTATTCTCCCAGCCTAGCCTCCCAGACAGAGCCAACAAATGATGAATGTTATATAACTCAGGAGTTCCTGGAGTCTTTACCTCTGTCCTTGAAGTTCTAATCAGCCCAGGTCCCAGGGTTATCCCTATTGATGTTTAAGCCAAAGAATATAGTTACCACCAGGTGGCACAGTCTGTAATCAAGATCAGGATGGGTTGGGATCTGTAGCTAGACTCCAGGAATTCCCAGTTTTGCTAAGTGCAGAAAATTGGCTAGATCATTTTATTAACCTTATTGTAGAGTGACTCTGCATATTACATAATTGGAAGTTTTGAACCCCACTTAATACATTAAGACAGGATTTTTTTTGTGATTGTTAGAGTTTTACAAGTAGTCGGTGTCAGCATACAGTATGTTTATTTCTATGAAAATACTCATTATGAAAGAGAAGCTGCCACGCCAAAGGGAAGCTACTTCACACCCATTACAATAGCTATAATCAGAAGGACAGTTAATAACAAGTGTTGGCTAGGATATAAAGAAATTGGAACCTTCATATATTTGCTGGTGGAAATGTAAAATGATACAGCTGCTACGGAAAACTGTTTGGCACTTCCACCAACAAGTTAGACAGTTGCCATGTGACCCAGCAGTTCCACTCCTAGTTAACTTACCCAAGAGAAATGAAAACATACATCCAAACAAAAACTTGAGTGTGAATGTTTATAGCAGCAGTTTTTATAAAAGTGGAAACCACTTGGAGGGGAGGAAAAGTCCCTCTACCATCTTAAGATCTCTGCCTGGGCTTGAAAATTAAATTGATGTAAGACAGATTAACAGGAGAAAAATATACAGATACAAGTTTTACGTGACATAGGAGTTCTCATAAGGAAATACCCAAAGAAGTAGCAAGACCTAAATGCTTTCATGCTAGGATAAAGAAAGAAGGGCCGCTGTGGAAAAGTAACCAAAATATATGGGGAGGCTAAAGGAAGATGAAAGTTATTTTAACAAGTCTGTACAGAATTCTCTTGGTCTTGAGTCCCTATCTCTGGTGATACGAATGTTTCTTTCCTCCTGGTATCAGAAGGGCGTCTTTCACGTGGGTTTTATCTCCTGCTTTCACAAGGAAAGGGGGAGGTCAGACCACTGCTGCCTTTCAGGTATCTTTTTGCTCAAAATAATCCTTATTCCAAAGTGGCATATTTTGAGGTGGCATCTTTTGCCACCCTTCAAGCCCAAATATCCATCAACTCAGCAGTCCCCAACCTTTTTGGCACCAGGGACCGGTTTCATGGAAGACAATTTTTCCATGGGGGTGTTGGCAGCTCAGGTGGTGATTAAGCAGCTGTAAATACAGATGAAGCTTCCCTAGCTCCCCCACTGCTCACCTCCTGCTTTGCAGCCCGGTTCCTAACTTTCATGGAAGACAATTTTTCCATGGGGGTGTTGGCAGCTCAGGTGGTGATTAAGCAGCTGTAAATACAGATGAAGCTTCCCTAGCTCCCCCACTGCTCACCTCCTGCTTTGCAGCCCGGTTCCTAACTTTCATGGAAGACAGTTTTTCCACAGGCCAGTGGTGAGGGGAAGTAGAGCTTTGTGGCTCAGTTCGTAACAGGCCACAGACCAGTACCAGTCTGCAGCCCAGGGGTTGGAAACTGCAGCAGCATCTGATGAATGGATAAATCGAAATGTGGTATATCCACACGGTGGAATATTATTCAACCATAAAATGGAGTAAAGTACTGATGCATGCTACATCGTGGATGAACCTTGAAAACATTATGCTAAGTGAAAGAAGCCAATCACAAAAGACCACATATCGTATGATTCCATTTATATTAAGCATTTAGAATAGGTAATTCATAGAGTCAAAGGCAGATGACATGGCGATGGAGGATGGGGTAATGGCAAGTGACTGCTAATGGGTACGGAATTTCTTTTTGGAGTGATGAAAATGTTCAGGAATTAGTGATAGTTGAACATCTTAGTAAATATACTAGAAAGCTACCATTGTACTTTAAAAAATAATTTTAGGCTGGGCACAGTGGCTCACACCTCTAATCGTAGCACTTTAGGAGGCCAACTTGGGAGGATTGCTTGAGCTCAGGAATTTGAGACTAGCCTGAGCAAGAGTGAGACCCATTCTCTACTAAAAAAGAAAAACTAGCTGGGCATGGTGGTGTACACCTATGTTCCCAGCTACTCAGGATGCTGAGGCAGGAGGATCGCCTGAGCCCAGGAGTTTGAAGTTGCTGTGAGCTACAATGACACCACTGTACTCTAGCCCAGGCAACAGAGCACGACTCTCTCAAAAAAAAAAAAAGAAACTGCCAGTTTTGGAAAGAAAATTTGTACTTTGGGAACACTAAAGAGTCCTCAAATCTCTCAAGCCTGCTGTGAACAAAAAGCTATTCAGATTCAGGGTTTTTTAGCATATTTAAAGTGATTTTTTTCTTACTTCAAAAACAATTTGTTGAGGATTGATTTTATTTTTTTTATGTTTTGTTCACCTAGGAAAAACTCATTGTATCCAATGAACAGGAAGTTCTGCGAGTTCATTACAGAGCTGCAAGAACATTGGCCA